GTTCCGCTTCGAAGGCCGATTTGCAACTGTCGGTGATAGTGTATTGTGGGCATTCGTTTTTGGCGGCTTTTCTGCGTTTGTTTATCAGACGTATGTCTCTCTCGTAGCAGAGCATGGTCCGTGTCTACGGGTGTTAACCAGTAGGAGCGGCAGTCTTCAATAGATCCTCTCCAGCGGTGGCTGATGGCGATGTGATCGATTAATAATAGCAGGAAGCATAACAATCTGGTATTTTAGCAAGAAAGATTTGATAAATACTGTGGTCCAACTGATTGCGTCAGAAACTGTGCGTTCTAAATTGGGTTACGTAACGTGTTTAGGATCACCTCGCTTAACTCCAAGAGCCTGGAATTCATGTTCCGCTGATTCCCACCGACATTTGACCTATCGTTCCCCACATCGACTGGGCAACTACTCCCAGTTGATGCCAGGCCTCCATTTGAAAAGGTTTCCCAGAAAATCAGCTATCGCAAAAGTTATCAGACCGCCGACCCAGATGGGCTGTTCTCATCGGTTTTTAAGGACTGAGGTTCAGCCTTACTTTTGGAGTTACCGAAACTCGGGTTCAGTGTGGGTGAGGTAAGAGGTTCCAACTGTATGGTGTGAATCGGTGATCATACCGATTTGCAAGAAAGGTGTCCGGAATTTGTTTCATCAATATTGTCTCTAAACTTCTCGCTGGCATCATCTTCCGTCGATTGTATGCCGCACTCACGATTGAGAATCAGGTTGGTTTTAGACCTAGTCGAGGTTGTATCGACCACATCTTTATTCTTCGTCAAACTCCGGAGCACCGACATTCTTTTCGTAGACCGACCCTCTGTCTTCCTGGATCTGAAAGTGGCTTTCGATTCAGTTGACCGTTCTAAACACTGATGCTGCCGTTCCCTGAAGTTCATACCCGGGAAGTTTATTTCAGTACTTCGGTCCCTTTTATACTAATAACCGAATTCGAGTCCGAGCCTACGGTTTTTTCATCCGAGTTCACCACCGACGGTGGCGTTCATTGGTGTTACCATTCCACAAGGCAGTGCCCGGCGAGGAAAGTTATTTATTACGAATAACGACCAGCTTATCAGTACATTGTCCTTCATGCAACAAAATGTCTCATGCAGAACGAGTCTGCAAAATTCGCAGACCGAAACGGGCCGGGATGGAAAAGTTTCAATTTTTACAACCATTAGCCATGCACTTTCATGCACCGTTTTTGATTTTTGTCTTTTGGACGCTCATTTGAATAAAATAGGTTTAAATGTTGAGAGCAGATTCAACTGAAAGACTAAGGATTCCTACACACTGGTTCCAAGAATTTTGAGTCGATGCTCACAACACAGAGGTTAACAGATGACGTGGACTCGGGACATTAACAAATGTACAGAGCTATTAGTGAGTGTCACACCTTCCAGGTTTGGATCCAAATGACTGTGTAACTGTTTAGTTGGAGACATTAAAGGATATGACAGCGAACTGACAGCAGTGGCGTTCTTGTCGTCATTTCTTTTCAGGTCAGAGTGTTTGAAGCGGTATGTATACCCAGTGAGGTTTTACATTGTTTTGCCATGGAGGTTCACTTCCTTTGCCTCCCTCCAGTTAGACCCAAACCCTATCCATCTTGTAGTTGCTCACTTATTTTGTGTACATTGGCAGCGGTCAGCGAAGTTCACTTCTCTGTATCTCGCTATACGATCATGATTTTGATGCCGATCCATTGTGACAACAGTCGTCGATGCATTGCAAACCACGTATTTTTTGGGCAGCATTCTGACTCCTGTAATTCTGATGTAATGTAACTAATTTAAATTATAATATTTTTGTTGTAGTTGGATTCGGCACACTGGATCGTGCTAATTTCCTTGTGGATTTGATCAAGTAATGTTGCTGTCGCTTTGCATTGGCAACACTTGCCATGAGCTCGGCGCATGCGAATGACTCAAGTGATCCATCCCAGACAGTTCAAACCTCCAGCTCATTGATTCCACAATGGGTTTCTGATGCAAGGGAAGTCCAAAGCGCATCGAATTTCTCTCTCTCTGATATCAATGCTCCCGGTGAAAATATTTGGGTAGATGAAGTTCCACCGGAGCTTTGGATCAAGATCTTTCACTTGCTTCCCCAGTCAGATTTACTGTTTCACGTACCACAAGTTTGCCGGGCGTGGTATCAGGTAAGCCGCTCTCCGATCCTGAGAACACGTCTCGTTCTGCGAAGAGATGTGCCTCCAGATGTGCTATACGAGCAATTTAAGACGCGACCATTAATGCGATTGTTCCATTGTACTGCAATGGAGTCAGCAGGATCAGCCTTAGTCAGTGCCATTCAACTGTCCACTTCACTTCAGTGCTTAAACATTGGATTTTGCAAGCTGTCTGAGGAGTTATTGGACACTTTGAGTACTCACCTTCCTCCAACATTGGTGCATCTCAATGTGGAAGGAATAAAGACCATTGGTGTAAGTGAAGCTCTGTTAACAGGCACGAGATTCGTCTGTATATGGTTCGCAACCATGTTCCTCGTCTAACGGTTATATGCGTGATTTCGTCGGTCTACTTTTCCTCATTTACCACAAAGAATCTCAGCAATTACATCAACTGTTTTCATGCATCTTACTATTATTATTACCTATGCGGTTTGGAACCAGCTATTAATTGTCATTATTATTACTATTATTATTATTAATGCATTTCATGAAAGAAATTGAAAATAAGATTTTGTTATCCGTTTAGTTCATCTGCCCTCACAGTGCTTCACATTTACTGCTTTCAGTTGCATATTGTCAGCTAAGTTCAATTTTTGGCAATTTTGTTTAGTCCGTCGGGTAGTCTGATTGGTACAACTTGCTTCAAAAAGATCGATGACTTTTTTCAGTTGGGGTCTCTAAACAACACATCTAAATAATACTTTTCCAGTTCCAGGAGAGTAGATTGACAATCGATGTGCACAATTTCATTGAAGATTCAGTATTCAGTCAGCTTTGCAGTTATTCTTTTGCTGTACATCGTAATGGTGCTTGTCTTATCCGAGTAGATCTGCTGTTGTGGCTCGGTTCGGGAGATTTGTTTTATTTCCATATATTGATCTATCGTGTAGAATAGATCAATCACTCCACTTAAATACCTTGGAGGCACCTTTTTGTTTGCAACTGTCAAGAGTGCACCGATTCTTTTGGGATTCGAGAATGAATTTCTTCATCTTAGAGCGAATCACTGATTTTTCCCATTTTCAAGAAGGGATTTCGCATTGATTGCGAATACCACCGCTGTATAAGTTTGATCCCAATCGCCTCCAAATTGCTAGCTTCCATCATACGCTGACGTCTGACTCCCTTAAGAGAGACCGGCATCCATGAACTGCTAGCCGGCCTCCTGACTGACCGTGGTTGTACTGATCAGATTATTACTTTGTGTCGACCTGTAGCCAGTGGACGGTCTGCAGATGGCTCAGCTCAGTGCTGCCGAGCGCGTCTGTAGGTCGCGGATAGTAGAACATCCACCTTAATGGTTAACGGTCAATAGGTGTGGAGGGGCACCCCAATGAATAATCGGTCGCGGTCGATCTGTGGCGATGCTAGAGGACTTGGTGGAGTTTACGGCTGGCAACCAATACCCCTTTTAAACGCTGTCTGCTGAAAGTATCACGACGTGTGCGAATGTGGCCCGGCACCAAATGAGGCCATTACCATTCGCCTAGTCCTCCTGGTAGGATAAGCTTTGAGGACTACTACCGACTCTCAGATGTCTCAGACTCATTACGATCCTGGATTGGCACTGAGTCATCCAAAAGGTGTATGAACCATCTCGGCGGTCACCGGCTACCACCTTGCCACCCTGTAGGTCGCACTTGGTTGTGCAAGGGTTAGAGATACACCCTCGAACAAAAGCCAAGCGACGCTGGGTACTTCACTTAGTACCTCATTCCCTAGTTTCTCCATGGATCGTCTTACAATGTTACGTTGCGTTCATGCTACGGTGTTCCCGCGAAGCGACACGCTCTGCGCTCTCCCAGTGGTTGGGGTGACAAATGAGCAAGCTGGGAACCTAAAACATCCGTATATCAGATCCAGCATCCACGTAGCTTGTTGGAATGTTAGGACATTGCTAGATGTAAGAAGCTAGCGTATAACAATGCATTCACTGCACGATTACAAAGTAGACATGTGCTGTCTTTCCAAAGTTGGATTACCTGTGGCACAAAATAGTTCAACATACCACATAGCGATGCAACCTACTGAATTCAACACAATGGACCAACTGACAACTTCGATTTTCACGGAGTAGCAATCGCCGTGAGCGAATGAACCAACAATGCCATGATCTCCTGTGAACCAATCTCCCCCAGGATTGCCATAGCGCGCTTATAGGGTAAGCCGTTTAGCCATCATCACTGTCATCACTGTGTATGCTTCAACGTCACATGTGGAAGCGCCCATCAAAGACGGCTTCTATAATCAAGTTCAAGACTCAGTGAACTGCAGTCCGAGACGCGATATTCTCCTTATTGCAAGAGACTGAAATGCACATACTGGTCCATCAGAAAAGGATACTCAGCATGTTCTGGGAAAGTTCGGCCTTGGTCAACGTTGCGAAAATGGCGACTGCCTAGTCACATTTGCTGACCTTAACCGGTTGATCGCGGTCAACACCAGTTTCCAGCACCTCAGAAAACACCTACTTGGTACTCGAATGACGTTAGAACGGCTCATTAGATTGAATGCATTCTGGTACGTTCTCTCTGGGCCTCAGTGAAAAACTATATGAAAAACTTATGGAGAAGAATCAACCGAGTTTACACTTAGCTCTGGAGTCAGACAAGGTTGTCTCTTACCGCCCTGTGTTATTCAATTACACTGTAGATTGGATAACGCTACAAGCACTCCTCGAATACCCCGGGATGCAGCTTGGCCCATGGATTGCAGACCTCAAGTTCGTGCATGATGTCGTACTTGGGGATGCCATGACATTAATCAGCTTGCCCAGGACATTGGATTAGAGATCAGCAACTCAAAAGTAAAGTAAAGAAAGTAAATTGGAAAGACCGAATTTCGACGGCGCTGCTCGAAAATCGACAAACTTTCAAAAAAGCTACAACGCTGGCGCCTTCAGTGGTTTGGCTACGTCCTCCGAAGGACCGACACTCAACTCTTGTGGTAGGCTGTGACCACCATGCCGTGGATGGCGTTGCCGACTCGGAGTTCAACTGAAAACCAAGGCGGATTTGGAATTACTAGACCTCCAGTCCATATATGGAATTCGTAGTTGGAACCAGAACTGGGTCTCACATTGAGCTAACATTGTCGCCAATTGTCACGCATGGGCCGCCGTTATTAGGGACATCCAAGAAGCCGATTTATCCTCCCGCAGGAGTTGATCGCTCAAATGAGTAATTTACGTCAGGTCCTTGAGCTGCGTCACATCCACCGTCGACCAACGATCGTAGTGTTCCTTGGCCCGAAGGGAGTCTTTGACTCAGTTCACCGCGAAGCCACAATGGCGTCCCTTCAAAAGGAATGCCGCAGAAGTACCCTAAATTACTGGTCACTGTACTCTTACACCTCTGCTCGATTGGAGGTTTATAACGAACTAATTCGTTCGTTCGTCACCAACAGCGGCATTTGTCAAAGATGCCGGATTTCGCCATTGCTGTTCAATTTCCTTGTAGACGAACTTCTGGAGAACGTACTAAGTGGTCTCCAAAACGAATTGAATGAACAACTGAAGAAAAGCTGTTCGATTTCGAGTACACCAATGAAATCGTCTGCATGTATGGAGGACACAATGCGCACTTGATAGACTGACCAGTGCTGTTACCACACTCGATTTGTGCTTTACACCTTTAAAGTGCAAAGTGATGCTGCAAGACTGGTGTGTCGCTGAGTTCCGCTCTGAAATTAGACGATCAGGAATTAGCTGAAGTTGATTGCTTCTCGTACTTAGGTAGCTGCGTAACCAACGACGGTAACGCATCAAAGGAGATAACAGCCCGCATTTCCAAGGCTCGAGAAGCGTACGCAGGACTAAACACTTGTGGCGGCGACGTGACGTGTCACTAAAGTTGAAAAGCCGCGTCACTGCGCCACTGTACGATCAGTTCTGCTGTACGGTTGTGAGACCTTGAATTTGCAGGTAGAAGACACCCGTCGTTTAGCAGTGTTCGACAATCGATGCTTATGCAGTCTGGCTCAAGTGGGATGGAGTGAGCGGGTTAGTAACTTAGAAGTAAGTCGTCGGGTGTTTGAGAAAGCATCGAACAAGAACTCACTATCTCATCGAATCCAGCTCAGTAGGCTCCGTTGGTTAGGACGCGTTTTGCGTATGTCCAATTGTCGCCTACCGCAGCACTCCTTATTCGCAGTGGCTGTTGCAGGCTGAAGGAAGCCACGTGGAGATGAGGCATGAAGAAACGTTTGCAAACAAATTGCCAAGCTAGGCGAACAGGCGAAATAGAAGTCATGAAGAAATGCACAGAGCGATTAGGTAGAGTAGATGTCTCTCATCTTCCGGGTTGGGGTCCAAAAGACTCCGAACCCGCATGGTTGGAGACACTGAAGATCATGGCTGCGAACCGACAGTAATGGCGATCATGCTGTCACTTCTTATCAGACCAGAATGCTTGAAATTGTATGTATGCACAGTCGAACTGTTTACTCTGTGTTGACCATAGAGGTTCGCTTTCTTTTCCCGTCCCTAATAATAGGCCCAATCCCGATCGTCCTTACTCAATAACAGTTACTGTTGATGCGCGATTCGTATGTATGATACTTCGCTAGTCTTTGGTCGAATATATGCACCTGAAGATGAATATCCATATCAGCAGATAGTCAGAACGTCTCGGATTCTTGCTTGGTGGTTCTGTAATGATAAAACAATACGTTAACATACGGAATGATAAACAAGAAGGTGGAACTCGAAAGGAAGC